TAGAGTAAAGATAAAGATTTACTTTGGGGGCAACTGTGGCTGAGTGGTTGGAGAAGTCGTCCTCCATTGGAAGAGCTGGGGGTTCGATTCCACCAGCAGTCACATGCTGAAGTGTCTGGGCAACACATTGAACCCCTCATTGCCTCCGATGTCTGTCCCATCGGTGTGTGAATGTGATCTAAAGCCCTAATTTATCTCTACAGATTTAGATTATCTTTGTAGATCTTATATATATATATATATATATATATATATATGTGTGTGTGTGTGTGTGTGTGTGTGTGTAGTTTTTAAGATTTTAGGAACTTTTTGTGTGAATCTTTTTATCTGTTTGGGACAATAAAGGCTGATTCTATTCTAGAAATGTAGTGCAGTGCTGTGTGGATGAGGGCACAGGTTGTACATTATTGTAAAGCACTAGAGTATCTTGATTAGATAGAAAGGCACTATATAAGTACATTCCATTTACCATGTAGTCAAATGCTAGCTTAGAGCAAAGGTTGACTAAAAGTTGGAAAATGCCAGCTAAAAGCAGCCAAAGGCTAGCTAATCAACTAAAAGTATTGTAGACAGTTGCTTAAAAAACTATAGCACAACACAGCTCAAATCAGCAATAGAAGACAAAATTAGAACAAGAAGCAAAAGGTTAACTAATCAGCTAAAAGTAACAGAACAGTAGCTAAAATCTAAAAGTAGCAAAAAGCTAGTTTATTGTAGAAAATGGTTAACATAAGTTAGGAAAAGACTGGCCAAAAGCAGCAAAAGCTAGCTAAACAACTAAAAGTAGCAGAACAGTAGCTAAAATCTAAAAATATTCAAAATATAAATTCAAAGTAGCATTAGAAGGCAAAAATAGAGCAAGTGTGCTGAAGCAGGTTTTTAAGAGAATGGTGCTTTTTAAGGTATTAAAGAAATTAATTATTTGTGCACAGAAAATACATGTAAATAAAGTCAAAGTATAAAAGTTGCAGAAACCAAGGGAGTGGTGGCGCAGAGATTAGAGAAGGTGGGCCTGTGATTGGAATATCGCCGGTTCAATTCCCGGTACCGACAACATCAAAATGTGGGTGGGACAGGTGAAGCACCCACACCTGCCTCGACCCTCATTTGCCCCACACTGGGCCCTTGAGCAAGGCCCTTAACCCCCACCATCTGCTCCCCCGGGTGCCCTAGATAGCATCTCTCTGCTCCACACAGAGGGCTGTGGTAGCTCGGTGGTCTGTGGTCGCATCAGGAAGGACATCCGGTGTTAAAACCATCGCCAAGTCTTAGTGCGAGTTAGTTCGCTGTGGCGACCCCTGAAGAAGGGAGCAGCCAAAAGAAGAAGAAAAAAAGTTACAGAAACCATCAGCATAAATGAAGTGAATATTTTTATATGTGAATGGCTAAAGTAGCACAAAGTATGCAGAATTTGTTATATTATAAAACATTTACCAACAATAAAAAACAAGAAAACAGCATTATGAATGCTAAATCATCAATCACACAATGTGCTATAAAATAAAGAAATCTAGAAGTGTAGGTGGAGTTATGTCAGTTGTATCCAGGCACAGCATTGCATTACGCTCATATTACTATATATGTCAATGTGAATTTTATTTACATTAGAGTCGCTATAGTCTGAGCTGCATATATTGAAAGACAAATTGTTCCTTGAGTTTTAAGAGGCACTATAAAATCCCATTCATCTTTTTATTTTAACAGGCTACAAAAGCCCCGGATCACCTAGAAGAGCTGATGTTCCTCCTCCTGTGCAAATGTAGAGATCGGATAAATATAAGCCAGCGTTTAAAACCTTTAAAAAATGAATGGTAACATTTTAAAATCAATCTGAAAGTATACAGAAATAAGTCCGATTGGTGTGTAAAATCAGACGACGCAGCCCAAAACAATAAGATCAACGTAAAAAGACAGATCAGATGAAGCCAGAGGGATACATGAAAAGAAGTTTCTGCACATAAATGTGGTTTTGTGTTCCCACCTGTGTCATCAGCATTCTGATTTATAGAACAGATTTAATCTGATTCTTTATCAGCTCTGAGGGTGTTCATGAAAAAACATCTCTGTTGGCTTGAAATCCCATCACAGAGTCAAATTATTAGAGCAGCGGTGAGAGAGGATCATCTAAAAAAAGCAGAGCTAGAGCATAAACTGCAAAGTTATGTGACATTCCAACTGAGTATGACGACTATAAATCAAACTTTCTCATGTACTTCAAGCTGAGGTCTGAAATACTTCTTGTCCCTTGAGACTGGACTCATGTTCAATGTTTTATGTGGTTTTCTATTAAAGGAAGTGCACATGAAGTCAGTCAGGTGGAGCATGATCTGGACGTGAAGGATCTGAAAGGTAAAGAGAATAAAAGACTTAACTGCTTTATATATAAACACCCATTCTAAATGTTCCTACTCCTTTGGTAAGATTGTCTTTCAGATATGACCCCCTCCTGTGAGAGGAGAGACGCCTGGTGGCCTGTTAAAGCTTGCAGGTTGAGTAAACACAGAATCACACATTCATTTAGAAGTTTTTGTTTTTCCCACATACAGTTGTTTTTTTTTTAACATCTGGAGCGTTTGTGAGGTCAGTAACTTCCCCCAGAAACACTTTAATAAACAGAAAAGAAAAAGCTTCAGATTGAATGTTGTACTTTGTGGACAAAATATCCCAAATAATACCCAACTATGTGAGACAAAAACCTTTAAAAATTAAAATATTAAGATCAAATTCTCACTTTAAATCAATTATGTCTCTTAAAAAATTGTTTGTTGTCTCAATTGTCTTAAAAAAGTTTTATTCTACATTTTATTTATGTTTTTATTTTATTTTATTTAGTCTTTTAAATGTAGAAATAAAGTAATACAAAAGTTATCCACTAGAGGGCAGAGGCGACCAAAGCAAAGCACATAACGGCCCATTTACAGAAAAAGCTTTTATTTTGCTTGTGTAAGACAATGCTTTTTTTAAATTTAATATTGATTTAGACTGTATCTCTTTGTCAGTAAAAAGGATTGTTGTTATTTTGACATTTAGAATAAACTTTATTATTATTAAATTGTGACTAGTGTCTAAATGTAAAAAAAAAAACTCTTAGAAAATAACAGTTAACTTTAATTTGTATGTAGATTTCAATAAAAATAAATCAAATAAAACAAAATCGGATGCATCCTCAATAAACATAATTGTCAAACTAAGAAAGACAGTGATTATGTTACATAAGTAATTTTTAATGCTGATTTTCATTACAGTTTAAGGACTCAGAAATTGTTAAAGTTCACAGAATCCTTTCAGTATGAGACCTTTAAAAGTGTACATTTCAACAATATCATGTTGTTTATCTTGCAACTTGTTTGTCATCTGGGTCTCAGACCAAACTGCGTGTATCTTTGAGATTCAGGATAATGCCTGATGAACGTAGACGCTATTTTCCAAATTATTATTGTCAGCACTTTTAGTTCTGTTTGACAGACAGACACAGAAAACATCAGTTTTGTAAATGTTAGTGTCAGAAATCTTTCCAAATAATGTAATGAACCACTGTGTCTTTTTAATCTGGTTGTGAATTACATAATTTTGTTCTGGTCTCCATTATATCACTTCTTTGGGAATAATCAATAATTACAATATATGATTTTTATTCTCAAACAAGTACACTACAAGTTGAGGTAATAATCAGCTGATTGATGCTAAAAATCCCATTTTGTCTCATTTTTTGTGTGACTATTACTTATTCTAAGGTTTATTTATTGAAAGGCACATATTGAACTGTATCATTGTCAGATGACACTGAAAACTTCTGACAGCTGCAGTTATGACAGCAGTGACTACTTGTTCACATGATCATCATCATAAGGGTTACTTCTGCTTTTCTGTTCAGGGTTCTCAGCAGGTATCTTTTCTAAATGTCTTCAGGTGAAAGGACAGGTTGTCAGTCCATCACAGAGACATGTGACACAAACAATTACACACATGCACAATCATTTCTTCAGTCCATTTCAGAAATGAACCTAACTTGCCTGTTGGTGTACTGTGGAGGCCAGGTGACTCAGAGAAAAAAAACTTTTTGATGAAAAATTGATTTGTGTATTTTTAGATCAGTTATTTGCATATTGTTGAGGAATGTGCACAAGACTTACAGACATTATAAATGAGTCAGCGGCTCTGGATCCACTTCGTCATTATGATGTCAGAATTTTGTAGATACTATGTCATCAGAATGATAACAATGACAGAGGGGTTGGCAGAAACCCAAGTTGACCTGCCATTCAAAGAATCAGGTACATTAAGTGCAGTCGTATTAGAAAATGAAGGGACACGTTTCTGATCTCAAGTGTGATCAGTATAATGTCCAAAAAAGTTTCAAAACATAACAGTATATTATAATATATACAAAATATGGGTATAATAATAATAATAGTACATTAAACACTCTACTACAACAGCATTAACAGTATATTAAATTAGTATATTGTATAATTTATATTTCTGAAGAATCACACAAAAATTCTCCAGGAAAACAAAATCAACAACACATTACATGAGTGTGTTAGGTGGATTTAAACGTTTTAACGAGTAAGAATTAAAATAAAGTGTGATAAATTGGACATAAAATTTTATTCTCGTTCTAAACAAGCCTTGTTGGATTTTTTGATGTTCTGAGCTGCATTTGTCAACTGGTCTGAAAATCGTGCGTGTAAAATGTCCTCTGTGTCCATGATCCCAAAATTTTGAACATTATTTCTACAGGTCATTATGTAATACTGTACAACACTGGAAAAATTCATAATAATAATAATAATAATACATTTGATTTATATAGCGCTTTTCTAAATACTCAAAGACGCTTTTTTCATGAACGAGCTGAAAGTATGCAGCATTCACGCAGTAAGTCCGGTGGTTGATTAGTGATGTCTGGGCGGATCGATGCGGTTCGTCGCTCCGCCCTCCATTCTCCCGCCTGTTCGACGTGCAGTTGTTGCTGCTCGGCTCTTAAAGGCAGAAGTGTCGGAGCGGAGCGAGCGACGGGAGCCGGGAGAGGAGCTCAGGTTGAACACGAAAACCGGTCTGTTCAGGTCCACACACAGACAGCTACCTTGGATTTGAACCTCCGCTCAGCAACCAGAAGAGGGACCATAACAGGATTTCTGCTCGGAGTTGGAAGTTTCTGCGGAGTATTTTTTGTTTGTGTAGTTTTTTTTATGGTGGGTGTGCTCTCTCTCTCTCTGACGCTTCCAGCTGTTGGGAATCATGGCGCTCAGAGCCAGAGCGCTGTACGACTTCAGCTCTGAAAACCAAGGGGAGCTGTCGGTGAAGGAGAACGAGATCCTGACTTTGTACAGCGAGCAGGACATCGAGGGCTGGCTGGAGGGCACGAACGACAAAGGGGACAGAGGACTGGTCCCTGCCTCTTATGTGGAGGTACTGAAAAACGATGCGCCCTCCACGGTTAACAACAACAGCTGCAGCACATCTGGGGGCTCCAGGTATGCCAATGTCCCAAGTGGGGGCTTTGACAACTTTTCTAAACCACCCCCTCCGAGTCTGAGCACTTCCCATGCTCCTTTGCAGCAGCAGGGTTTTAAGCAGCACAGTCAGGGCAGTGATGATGACTGGGATGATGACTGGGATGACAGCTCCACTGTGGCAGATGAGCCAGGCACAGTGGGAGGAAGGTACAATGACTTTGAAGGTAATGGACCCTACACCTACAGGGTGTCAACGTCCACGGGGTCCAAAGGTAACACACAACAGGCAAGGAGCTCCGCCTCGGTCAGCAGGAACCTGAACAGGTTCTCCACCTTTGTAAAGTCAGGAGGAGAGGCGTTTGTGCTCGGGGAGGCGTCGGGCTTCATCAAAGATGGGGATAAGATCTGTGTGGTGATGGGTCAGTATGGTCCAGAGTGGCAAGAGAACCCCTACCCGTTCAACTGCACAATCGACGACCCCACGAAGCAGACCAAGTTCAAGGGCATGAAAAGCTACATTTCCTATAAGCTGACCCCCACGCACACGCAGACTCAAGTGAACAGGAGGTACAAGCACTTCGACTGGCTGTATGCCCGCCTGGCGGAGAAATTCCCCGTCATCTCAGTGCCACACCTGCCGGAGAAGCAGGCCACGGGGCGCTTCGAGGAGGACTTCATCTCCAAGAGGAGGAAAGGCCTCATTTGGTGGATGAACCACATGACCAGCCACCCTGTCCTGGCCAAGTGTGACGTGTTCCAACACTTTCTCACCTGCAGCAGTACAGACGAGAAGGCCTGGAAGCAGGGAAAGAGGAAGGCGGAGAAGGATGAGATGGTTGGAGCCAACTTCTTCCTCACCATCAGCACGCCGCCGACTCCGCTCGACTTCCAGGAGGTCGAGAGCAAAATCGACGGATTCAAGACTTTCACCAAACGAATGGACGACAGCTCCTTGCAGCTCAATGCCACCGTCAACGAGTTTGCACGTAAACAGATTGGTGGCTTTAAGAAGGAGTATCAAAAAGTGGGGATGTCATTTAAGGCCCTGAGCCAAGCGTTTGAGATGGACCAGCAGATGTACTCCGCAGGACTCAACCAGGCTATCTCCTTCACTGGAGAGGCGTACGAATCAATTGGAGACTATTTCTCTGAGCAGCCCAGCAAGGATCTTGACCCAGTTATGGACCTCTTAGCTCTTTACCAAGGACACCTGGCAAACTTCCCAGATATCATTCATGTCCAAAAAGGTAAATTAAAAACCCTGAGATATTTTATTTTTCCATTTTAAGGTTGCTTTTAGCTCTTTCTTGTGTCAAATGATGGCATTGAGTGTTTTTCATTTATAGTCTCTGAAATGACAAATGGCCACTTCAGGTTGTGTCAGGAAAATTGAGCATTTGGGCATTGTTGCTGTTTCTAAATCAGCCGTCAAATAACAATAGAGCTTAAGTCCATTTTCAAAACAAATAAGTGTGTTTGCATTTGGTTAACTCGCTGCTGCCATTGTGTGACCCACCTGCTGAATGAAGAGGGAGGCAACCATCGGTCTGTTTGTTTTGCCATGACGTAATGACGCCGAGAATAGCTTTACCTTTCTACACTAAATGATAAGTGCATGTTCATTATGAGTCATAAATGGTTATTTCTAGACTTTTTGCGCAGATGAACTAGATTGTAACATTTATTGCATAATCACAAGAGTTCCTTGACGTACAAATTTAAAATTTAAAGCATCCACCCTGTTCATATACCGGTATGTGAAATAATTAGATACAATTCCATTTCAAGCGCTGATGTTAATGAGTTCCCATAATTTTTGGTGTCATTCTTTGCAAAAAAGTGCGGCACCAAGTGATTTATCTCAAGTTAATTGATCTTTTGATTATTAAATAGGGGTGCACCGATTGCAGTTTTCTGGCCGATCACCGATTTCTAAAAAGGCTGACCTGCCGATTCCGATTTTGTCCGATTCCAATTTTGTTTTATAAGCGACCCTGTCGGGTGTTGTAAGGTCACAATGCACCTTCAATTTTCCCATATAATTTTATTGAAAAACATACCACTGAACAATATCCTAGGAACAATACAAACTTGTTTAACTGGCCATGTGGTAGTGCTCTGAAATATAAATGAAGTTCAGACAATTGTTGTTAAAACTAAAAATAATCGGTAAAATCGGTTTCTCGTGCAAGTATCAGCCGATTTCCCCAAATTAAGGACATCGGAACCTATTATTAAATATCATTAACTTTACAGTTAAAACACTACAGTATAACTGTGGATATAGTTGTTTGTGTAGTTCATACACAATTAAATGCTGAATAACTTGGAAAAGTCAGTTTGTTGCATTTGAAGGGAAACAAATTAAGGTAAAAGATTATACTTCAGATAATCAACAAAAACAAATATAGGATACTAAAATGAGCAAAAGAAATAAAAATTTAAATAAATTAATTAAATTTCTGCCTTGTAAACATCAAATAAAACTGAGTAATTGTGACTGCACCACAGAGTGAAGGCCAGACTTTAACAGTAGTGATTAACTTTATGTGTTCCTTTAAGTATTTACACTGATTGTAATGTGGCTCTGCCTGTCTTGAAGAATAGATGATCAGTGACCTGTGAAACTGAATGTACAGCGTGAGGTCTTGGAGATTAAATTTATTATTTTAGTTCAATGTTCCCACAATAAGTTTTGATTCTGTTCAAAAACATTGAAACTTGGAACGATGAGTGAGAGATGCTTTTTCATTTTAGCTGTATCCATTTATATTCAAGTAGTGCTTGTGCTTATTATCAATAACACATGGAACATTTGACTTTTTACAATGTTGTTATACTGTAGTTTAACAACTGACGAGTTACAGTTTGTAGGTTACATTTAGATAATTAATAAAAAAGGACCAAAAGCTAGGCCTTGTGGTATACCTCAAGGCTTTTATAAACATTTGTGAGGTCCATGTTCTATTTAAAGACATGGGTTTTATCCATTTATTTTACTTTTTTATTATTTAGCAGTAGGAACGTTAATAATAGTGTAATTAAGACTTTTTAAAATCAAAGCTGATACTTGGGCTTGGCTGAATTTATTAAAAAAAAAAAAATCCATCAGGAAACAGTCTGCCTTTTCAGTTTAGGGATGCTTTTAAAACTCATTGAACTGACATACAGTAGTATTAAAACGATAAATTACCTGTTCGGACAGCCAAATAAAGCAAAACATGCAACTTAAACCCATTCAAAAACCCTCCCTTCAAAATAAACCTGACTGACTACTTTCTGAAGGTTATTGTTCATATGTGTGTTTTTGTTTTTTCTTTGTAAATCTATTGTGAAACTGTGCTATGTATGATGCAAGACAGCATAGACTTGCATTTAGTCCTTTTCAGTTAATTAAATATTCCCAGTCACTTTCTCTGATCCACAAGGAAAATGTCTTTATCTGCTAATACAGGGCCCTGCTAGTAGCCTCAGCAAACAGGTTTTAAAATGTTGATGTATGATCATAACATTAGTATACACAACAATTGTTAAAACAGGTCAGGTCAGTGAATTACAAATTAAATAGTAGAGGAACCAAAGACAGTGCCTTGTGGCACACCAGTATTGTTGTAAAACAGTTCCCTAATTTTGTTTGACCTATCTGGAAGTGTCTGTTTTTATCAGTAGAAAGAACTTGATCCATTTCATATTGTCATCCATTAAACCATGTTATGATGCATAACTTAATAAAAGGAACACGATGACATGAGCTAATATAGACTTGTATTTAACCCTGTTCAGTTCGTAACACATTCCTAGTTAAGGTCTGCTACACTAAAATATAGCATGTTCTAGGATCAGAAAGCACATTTGTATGTATTTATACTTATCTGAGGCTTTGCAAGTGTTTAGTTCAGCCCAACAGCATAGATTTTGCGTGACATGTATCATAAGCACTCGTGGACATCCTGGTTTGGGCCCCAAAGACACTAAGTCCATTCACTCCACAATAGATGGTGCAGGGGGGGGACAGGACAGTGTTTAGACTGCAGTGGGACACAAACTTCCCAGTCAGCTCAAATCAAGTTGGCCACGTAGGCCACACACACAACCCAAATAAGGTGACACCACCGTTTACACAGTCTGGCACGATATGCACACAGTCCAGTTCCACAAATACAAGCTCTTACACGAGGCAAAAGATTTGGAAAAGTCAAAACACGGGAAAAGACAGAAGATAAAAGGTGAGCCAAATGGAGCACATGTTGTTTTTGATACTTTGAGGCAGTTTAGTTTTACATTCGTGCATTCCTTCTCCTCTGAATCATCAGAGAAGTGAGAAAACATTCCTAATTCCTTTCTATTTATAGGAAGAGTTGAGGAGAGAAAACAAATATACTCTTTAAGATGCGATAAACATGTATGCCACATTGACAGAGGCATGTGGGGCTGATTAGTTTGGCTGCGTGTGTTGCAGTAAATATTTCAGTTCAGCCTCGTTGTCTCAAACTGTCATCCAGCTCTTTAGCAAGTGATGGAGTGAGGTACATTTTCTGGTCTTCTGTCTACTTGTGCCTTATCTTTCAGTGTCTCAAATTGCAGTTTGGGTCTTGATCCAATCTGTAGCCTGATCACATGCAAAGGAAACAGTGAAATTAGCGTGTAGTTTATTGCTGCCTGCGCTCACTTCTGCACCGGACCAGAGGTCAGGCCACATCCTATGGTGTCATAAACCCACGTATACGTTGGTTGCACAAAAGGCTGTCAGCTGGAACTGAAGAGATAATGCAATGACAGTGGGTAACGGAGCAATCCTCACAGCTCTAAAGGGTCAATGGATCCGTTTAAAGTAGGAGATAATCTTACAGTCGTCGGCTGCGTTGTGAATCAGTTCCATCAATATGTGTGCTTTGTTTTTAGCTTGCTGAAGCCTAGCTAACTGCAAACAGGCAGGTGAAATGTAAGCTTTCCTGCTGAGGGACCTGGCCATCACTGTATTGATCTCCACCTTTACCAGGACCCCATTAGCCATTAGTGTACAGCTTCAGAAACAGAATGCCAACACTTTCTATTAAATGGCTTTGCTTTGGGGGAAAACAATGATTGATTTCTACTTTATTTTTGTCTTAAACTCGTGTTTTTGTCTCAGAGAGCTTCAGGGCGTGGTTTTTCGTTACACTTTCAGCAAAGTGGAAGGAAAGCAATGAGTTTCATAAATTGTGTGGTGTGAACGCTTCAGATCAAAACTTTTGCAACTACAGATGCAAGACGCACAACAACTGCTGAAAGGTGAAGGCGGGCGATAATGTTTTGCCCGAGTCTGTGTGTTCCTGTATCTGTCTGTGAAGCAGCTTTATAGCTATTAGCTCATAGTCATTAACAACGCATACTTTGAGCACGAATAGATTGTATGAGATGAGCATGAGATCACATTACAGTAGTCCCTCGTTTATCGCAGGAGTTACGTTCCGGATGCCCACCCACCCACGCAATAAGAGAAAAACCACCAAGTAAGAATGCTGTATTTATTTTAGTATTTACCGTATTTTTCGGACTATAGGGCACACCGGATTATAAGGCGAAATATCAATGAACGGGACTGTTTTTGTACATAAGGTGCAACGGATTGTAGGGGTGGGCGATGTGGCTCAAATAAAATATTGTGATATTTCAGAACATTCTGATAACAATAAATTTCGTGATATAACAAAAAAAAAAAAACAGAAATGATAGTTATTCATTTGCCAAAATTAACTTAACATGTTGCTTTGCAGTATTATATATAAAAAAAACTGCAAGGGTTAATTTAACTGAAATTACTTTATTTAGTAAAGTATTCAGTCTCAAAGTATAAAAATAAAAATGATCCTTCTGTTACATAGATTGAAAAAATCTGCACAATATATAGATAAATAAATCCACCACAAAAACTAAAGTGCAGGTGAGGTTTCCCAAAATAGCTACATAAAATCAAGCTTAATATCTGTTGAGCATAAATGTAACATACAACAAAATATATGTTTCCTTTAAATGAGCTATAACTTCCAAAACTTGTAACAAGGTGATCAGCTGACCCTGAAGCTTGTGGCGTTTCAGCTTCCTCTGTTCCTGCAGGAATTATTCATTTCTCTGATGCTCTGTCTCTCATCACCTGACTCTGTTCTTGGTCCATGGACCGACTGTGGAACTCAAGAGACACAGCTGACCTGCACGTGTGTGTACCGGCAGTTTAGAGCGGTGCGGACCCAGCCGAGCCGCGCGTAGTTTGTTTTTAGCATTTTAGCTAGCTAGTATTGTGCACAGCTAATTAGCGTTACGCCAGTACTGACAGGTAGATGTGTGAGTGCGCAGTTCGGTTGTTCGGCGCGCTCGTTTCTGTTAGGGATGCACCGATCCACTTTTTTCCCCACTACCGATCCGATACCGATATCTGCTGTTTAGTATCAGGCGATACCGATCTGATATCGATCTGAAACAGAAAATCTGTGCTGAATTAACAAAAATGGCTAAATCATGTCATCTGGACCAGTTTCTGAAACGAGTTCAGATGACATGATTTAGCCATTTTTGTTGTCTACCTGGATGTTTGATCTTACAAACCCAGTGCTGAATTAATTTAAAACATTTGTTTTGTTAAACGCAGACATGAATGTACTGTACAAGTCTGGTTCTGGTCCTGTTCTTGATTGGTTCCATACGGCTCTATTAGGACTAAACTTTTTCGAAATGGATCTAAACTTTTCCTCCATTTCAGCAGAAAGCAATGGCTGGAAGCACTATTGGCATCTGGGAAATGTAGTCTTTTTGAGTGGCGATGCAGTATAGGCTTATTGAGAGAAAACTACAAAATGGCGGCGCCAGTCCGAAGTATTTTTTCGTTAACTTTTTACTGTATCTCATACTGTCCCAATTACGTGAGTAATGTCAAAGTTGACAATCGTGTGTTGTGTATTTAATTTTTTTGTCTCGTGTACAATCTTACTTTGAAAAACCGTGAAAGAGCGAGTCTGCGGCGCGAAAGTCGAATCGCAAAGTAGCGAGGGACTACCGTATTTTCAAAATTGGACTAAAAAAGGCAATTTTTCTACTTGGAACAACCATCTTTGTTTGAAACTTATTAAAATGCATTTGTTAAATGAAAGGCAATGACTTTTTATTTCCTTCAGTGGTTTAGTTTGCCTTTTCAGCGCATTCATTTTATAACTTATCAGATACATAAATGATTTTTAAAAATGACTGGGAAGTAATGGAAAGCACAGATTGATGTTGGGTTTTCCTGCTGAGACCGATGCACTGTTGTGCAAACAACAGGCCTGTGTGATGTTTTGTTTATTGGTTATTCAAATGTCCTCTGCTGGACAAGTGGGACATAGAGGTGATGGAGGGATGAGACGAGGATTGCCACTGACCACTGGCTCATTCTAGATTTGGCGTTGTGTAACCAGGGATTACATAAGAGCTAAAAGGGAGCGGACTCCGTGCCACCTCCATACATCCAGTGAGGACCAGTCAAGACCGTCACAACACGGGGCTTGTTCTTTAGAGTTATTTTATGAAGTATGTTTCCATATTAAACCACATTTATTATGTTCAGGGATGCTGGGCAGTAATAAGTAAAGCATCTGCGTAACAAACAGCATTTTCAGAGAAACGCAAATCTTTGTAGCATTTTTATAGTTTGGTAATTTCCCCAGTTCTGCCTCGTTGTTCTCTTCCTGGAAAGTTCAGCCTGATGAACATAAACACGTCTTTTTAATGTTTGACTGACGGAGCTACAGCCTGAAGACAAACGACACGCACTGTGGTCAAAGTCAAAGAAACGCCTTTCTCTGGAAGCGGGCGGAATTGTTTAGGTTTTAATCTTGAGTCTTGTTTTCTTGGAAAGATGAAGCTGATTTGGGATATTTAAAGGGAAGCTGGTAGGGTTGAGGATTAGGTCACTTTGTCCTGTCTGGTGTCACATTTCAGGAAATTTTGAGATGGAGTCATTCAGCTGAGTGTTGGTGACTCAGCTCACAAAATGGTTAAAATAAAAAGAATAAATCTCATGACGGGCGGATCCAGGATGTTTGGCTTCATGCCTCATTGGCGCAAATCTTACATCCCGCTTAAAGACACCTTAAACCCAGTGGGTTATACGTCTGTCAACTAGTCTCACATTGCGGGACGTCTCGCCTGTATGTTGCCATTTTGAGCAATTAAATTGAACCTGTGTCGACACCTGCTACCATAAGAGTCTGATTCTGTGTCGCAACGAGCTGCGTTTCAAAGGATTGTGCAAACTGTTTGGCCATGAGCAGATTAAACAAGTTTAATTATTAGAGAACTCATTCTTGTCCTTGATAATTCTGCATTTTTTGTTGAACTGCTTCATCTATCAAATGACTAAAATGTGCATAAAAAGGACTGCTTTAGCCCAATTAACAGTTAAAAACAAAGATACCTGCAACTTAGTTATTCAATAAGTTCTTTAAAATCAGAGATAGATGTTGCTCTTTGTGTTTTTTTATTATTATTATTATTTCCTGCAGTGCAATGCTATACACACATTTTTTTCAAACTTCCTCTATTTGACATTCGAATCTTGCTTTGGCTTTAGTTTCAGCCTGGACCACGTGTGTCGTCCGTGTTTGCAGCCATAGCTTAAAACTTCACAGAAAACATCAGTTTGCCCTTTTAGCGATGTCCTATAACAACATGCTGCTTATTTTGTAGCCACCAGAACGACTAAAAGGCAACGCGGCATGAAATGTGTGTGTAAAAGGCAGTGCAGTCAAACCGTACTGGCAGTTCACCACAAGGGTTGACCAAAGTGATAAGACGCACAGTGTGTGTGAACATTCAGCGCAGATGCTGCTTAAACTCTCAGTATGAGTGAATCAGAAGATTTTTTTTCCACTCTTAAACTTTTGTTTTATTTTATATGTGCAGTAAAGTTACTTTTACTCCTCTATACCATGTTTTTTGGACTATAAGGCGCATTAAGCGAAACAAAACTGATAAGTCAAACTTTATTCAACTCATTCAAAATAACCACATAAAATCGGTTCGAGGTCATTAAGGACAACCAGAGTTAATACCTGATTATAAGGCTCACTGTCGATTTTTGAGAAAATTTAAAGTGCGTCTTATAGTCTGAAAAATACGGTACTTCTGTCAAAAGCAACTTAAATTCTTCAACCTAGTTGCTTGTTTTACTCTTGCATAGCCCAGATGCATATTTGAAAGTGCATGAACTTTTATTCACTTTTTAAATTTTAAATGGTTGTGAAAAATTAAGGTTTACTGATATGTGAGTGTATAGTGCGTATAACTGTTTACAGTTGGATGTTAAGTCATGCTGCCCTTCCAGTTATGATGAGACTGGTGGCCATGTTGTGTCTCACGGATGCACTTTGTTCAAAGACGCTCTCTGACAGTCTTAGGACTGATTCTCCTGCTTGAGACCATCTCGTCTCATCTCAGGGATTTTCTGCTCCTTTTTTAAGAAGTTGTTAAAAATCAACAAGCTGGGTCTTCTCACCCTTTGTTTTATTGTATTTTTTTTGCTACACCATAGGTTAAAGTGTGACGAGTTTGTCCGTTTTTGGAGACATTTGAATGTGTTACAATCCTGTAAAAAAAAAAAAAAAAAAAAAAGTAAAACATCCGCCAACCAAATGCTAATAATCCAAACAACAGAAATTGCAAAACTTTTTTTATACCTTTGCATCTTCAAATGAAATGGACATTCCTTGAACATTTGCATTTCATCATCTGCCTTGCATGCCAACCTTTAAATTAAGAGCTTGCGTGTCTTGTTAGCACTTGGTGCGTGTAATGAGGACGCTACCGCACCAAACTTTAGCGTTGCAGCCGTTTTTGTGTTTGACTAGAATCCATCCCGTGGTTCAAGAAATATTTTTAATAAACAATCAAACAAGGACATGGGCAAAATCATGATCACCCGCAGGGCAGCAGGCCATGACATATTTTGTTGTAATCTTTTATTGCAGCGTTCCGGTATGTGTGTAGAGGGAACTGATTAATGATTAGCTGCTTGTCCACGACATCCACAAGTTAAATCTTTCAACATAATGTTCATTTTTAACAGAATGTCCTGCCAACAACCTGAATATCTGGTACAAAAATAAACATGCACACACAAAAAATGCAGCTAAATTTCCCTTAAATGGCTGGAGACTTTGAAGTGACATCATGTCACAGAGATGTTTTTAGTTGAGGCCCTCAGATTCACCAACTATACACCCAGATGTGGCTCCAGTTCCCAGGAAGTTTGAAACAAACTGGTCATGTTCAGGAGTCCCCACAGTCTTTTCTTTCACTCTGTTTACTTTTTAAAAAGGTTAAAAAATGCAAAGAATAAAACGACTAAGTAACAAGAGACCAGCTGAAAGCTAAAGTTGCTAAATACTTGCTCAAAACTAAAAGTATCAAACGTATCAGAATGGTAAAGCTAAAAGTAGAGGAAGGCTAGTTAAAAGTATCTAAAGGCTAACTCGGCTAAAGGTAGTTAAAGATTAGCTAAAAGTAACAGAAGGAAATGGAAAGCTTAAAGTAGCAGAAGTCTGGTGAAAGTAGCAAAATAGTGGCAAAAAGCTAAAACTAACAAAAGGGAAAGAAACAGTAGCAGAATAGATGCTAAAAGCTCAAAGTAGCACAAGTTGTGCTAAAAATAAAAGTAAAAGTGGAAGCTAAAAGTAGAAACATGCTAGCTAAAAGCTAAAATGATCAAAGGTAACAATGGTATTACTAAAAAGTAACTAAAGGTAAACTAAACGTAGCAGGATTGTAGTTAAGAGTAGCGTAAGAGTACAAAAAGAAAGGATGCTGATTCAGACAGAAACCAAAAGTCACAGCACCAGTCGCTGAATGAGCTGAACGTTTCGATCTATAAGCAGCTAAAACACCACACAGTATGCAAAAGTGTTAATATTGCAAATAAAAATACCAACAAGAAAGCAGAAGTTTACACAGTTAATTTCTACTCTTTGTCGGCCCCAAACAGGAGCCCTGACGAAAGTGAGGGAGAGCCAGAAGCACGTGGAGGAGGGCAAGATGGACCGGACGCAGGCAGAAGGCATCAACGAGCGCTGCAACATCATCTCCTGCGCCACGCTGGCTGAGATCCAGCACTTCCACCAGATCCGTGTGCGAGACTTCAAGGCCCAGATGCAGCACTATCTCCAAGAGCAGATTTTGTTCTTCCAGAAAGTCACGGGCAAGTTGGAAGAGGCTCTGCACAAATACGACAACGCGTAATGGACGGCATTTTATAAGTCCGTCGCTTTGAATCCCAGATTATGAATGGCCGTGCACCTCCTGTGAGCAGCCAGTGGTACACCTGCCAGTACCGCACACTGCCAGGTGCTGCTTATCCAGCAGAGAGGGGGTTATCCAAGAAGAGGATACTTGAGTAATTATTACCCTTGCGTAATTAAGTACCTTTTTATGTTGTTTGTTGTTTTTATTTTGACCCTGACCACATTTCTGTTGGCCACGTTTCCAGGGCGTTGGATGCCCTTGTTTACAAAAGGACGTTGGGGCCATTAAATGTTCAGAAATAATGATGAGAGTCAAAAATAATGATGGTTCATCTCCTGGTTGAGGTGCACAAACTGCAGAGAGAGAGAGAGAACTCTTTATACACCTCTGCCTTCACATCCCATGCAAAGTTGTATTACATCAAGTGTCTTTAGCCTTACTCTTTCTAAACGATGACTGCCGTTCTGGGAGCAGAGATACTTCTGGGGGCCCAACACAATGCCTTGTGGAAACACTAGGAATAATTCTTGACAGACAGATTGTTTACTGAGCAGCCTCTGTTTTGCTGTGCCTTTCTGATGAAATATTTCTGGTCATTTTTGTTACTAAATGCCTTTTAGGTAATGTTATAAAAAAAGATGTATTTGTTTAGTTGTTTTTATGAATCTACATCTTAATCTGTTAAAGACCACAGCTTTGAATGAAAGCAGTGTGTTTTCTGGAGAATTGTGCAGCTCCTTTGTCGATCTTTAACACTTTTTGGAGCAGCAGTACTGAAATCAGGGATTACCTGCTTTGATAATTACAATCCACGCTTCCCTTCGCACAGAGAGCACTCGTGCTGGTTTAAGCACACAGGACTAAAGAGACACGCATAACGATCACTTTCTACACAATTATCAGAATTTGTTGGGAAAACATTGACTTTAAGGCTCAGTTTTGACCCAGCAGAAGCTGCTTGGGGTTCCTCACCAGTTTTATTAGCCCGGTCTTTTGGTAGCACAGTTGAACCGTTTTAATCGTCATGATGCCGTTGCAATGTAAAGATTTTATTGTAGAAGAAGATATGCAAATTAAATTCATCCTCCACAAAATCTTGTTGGCAACTCCTGTGTTTTGTCAAATGAATAAAGAGGTTATAATTTGTTTTTTTGGCGCTTCTTCCTTGCGCCGAGAGGAGACAACCTGAGATACCTCATCTGGTCTTTTCTTTCCAGATCACCTTCATCGTGACACATGTTCCTTAACGCCTTTCTGTCGTGTCTAGCTCAACCCAGATAACAGCTGTTCTCATGGAAAATAAGATTTGATAATGTGTCTCCAGTGCAGGTTGGCTTGTCCTTCGCTGATATTAGCTGGGACTTTATCACAGCTGTGCTGATAATTAATTGGAGCAGTTTTCTCAAAGTGTACAGTAGCCTAGCCTTACTAGTCTCTGCCTTTCTAGAGCACAGGTGTACAAAGTGCGGCCCGAGGGCCATTTGTGGCCCTTGGAGTGATTTTGTGCGGTCCACAGCTGCAGTTTAAGAATGGTATCATTTTGGTCAGCAGGCTTAAGAGGTCGATGCTGACTTTCTGCAAATGTGTTTGTAATCTTTTTTTATATAATGTTTAGGTTTAACAGCAAAATGGATGAAAAACAATCTTCTCAAAATGAGCAATATTAAACAAAATAGAAACCTTTGGCTATAATTTTTATTTTCACTTCGTAGTACAAAGCACCAAGAACCTTTACTGATTTCTACCAGAAAGGAAACTTTTGGATAATGATTCATAAAACTTGGCTAAATATTGCATTTGATAAAATAACCAAGAGGGAAACTGGACATTTTAAATGAATATAACGTGGTATCATCTCCATACGAGTTGATCAACTTTATCAAAACTTCTATGAATCTGTTGTAGCGACTGACAGCTGGACAATTTTTCAGAACTTGGATCAGTCTTTTGGGTCATCCATGATCCAAACAGCTGATCGACCTTCTTTCAAAAGGATACTTACTCAAATTACACTTTTGTTGCTGAGAACAGACTTTGAACTTTCCTAAAACAAGAAAATGTCAAACAGAGACCCAACAAGTGAAATAAATCAAATCATTTTTAATATAAATATAAGCTTATTGTTTATGAGGCTTAGAACATTTTGGATCTACAACAAGTCAAAACTCTTTTTCCGTCTAAATTAGTCAACTTTTCTCCTTTCTCCAAAATATTCTTCATGTTGAGTTAAATTCACATTTTTGTGTAACACGAGTCCTTTCATCTGGATAGTTTTGACCCACCCCTGAGGCTTCTACATTTCTACACCAGATAAATCTGCAAAACAATCCAGTTCAGAGATCTTCATAGGAGTGACTTTTATTTTGCAATGATAAATGAAGAATGATGCTGGTGAAGATTCTCATCCAGGACATGGTGAATTCAAAAACGCTCAAGACAAAAACAACTGGACTTTATTTGTCACAGAAGACGTTTCATTTCTTATCCAAGAAGCTTTCTCAATTCAAAGAGCAGAGCGTGTGGGGTTCAGGTTATAAAGCTGAGATAAGATGCACATACATGTGCAGATTGACATATCACACCTCACAGTAGGGGTTTGTTAAGGTCTTTGTTAATCTAATTCACATAATAAATGATTGATAAATGTAGAATTATGTTTATTTTTAATTAACATATCACAAGGTTGACCCAGCTTTTTGTCACTTGAAGGCGAAGGAGAGATAGTGTTTTTTATTCAACTCTGAGGGTTTGTTTGTATCGTTAGCAAAATGTTCTACAAAATATCCCGTGAGCCACTGAAAAGATTTTAAATAATGTAATGCTGAGATGTGATTTAAAACTGGAGTCAGTCCAATTTAAGATGACAACTAGTTCACATCATCCCACACAAAAATGGCTCTCACAAATATTAAGCCAAAATGTAGTGTGGCAGTAGCAGAGAGTCACACACAACACATCCTCTGAGCACTACACGTTGAGAGAAATCCTGCAAATTTACACGAGTTTGCGCATAATTCTGAGGTTTGACCGAAACGACTATAACTCCATCATCATTTATCAACAAGAGCTGATCTTTGTTTAAAACTGGTCGGAAAGGCAGCGGGCGATATGCCATTTAATATATGGCCTTTAATTAAAATACTTAATGACAATCATTCTTTTAAATATTTTTAATAACCAGTCCAGACCATGACCCCTCAAAAAAGAATAAATGGAGGAGAAATCAAACATTCCTTCCACACAGGTGAACCGATACAATGTGCCTGCAACGTTATTTCACCATGCGAAAACGTCAAAGACAGCAAATTGTTCTTTCTGCAGGTGTCATGGCTGCCTCCCTGTGGGCTGCGTCTGTGTTTTATGCACGGATCTGCTGACAGTACAGAGGCCAGTCGCACAGCTGGGACGTCTTGCCAAAGGTAAAAGTGTCAGAGTGACAGCCAACACGCTGTGAAAGGGCAAAGGTCAGAATAACAGCTTTTATCTGCCATCACTAACCTCCTAAAACACAGAATCTGATCTCAGGTCTGCTGCTGGAGAAATCGTCTTCATCCTGGCCTCTGTTTGTAACCACCATGTGAATTTATACTGACAGATGTGACACTGAGCGAGTGTAATCGACACTGGATCGCAGCCGTAACCACTGGTTATGTTTACATGTTGGTGTAATGTGCCGTCAAACGGTAATAATCTGTTCTCACGGGCAGATAATCTGTCCCAACACAGGAAGTTACACTGAGAAGTCCTTATTCTGAGGCCAAGATCCAAAACTGAATGACTTCATGCCAGTTAAAGCGCTGGCTTCATTCTGACCAACATTAAAGTGCCTTTATGTGCAGTTGATTAATCTGTGAAGCATTTTAAGAGAAATGAAACTAAAGCTGCATGACTGCGCTCAAATAAAGCAAACGTGCTTAACTTTTATGGAATTGCCCTTTATCGCTCAGTTCATCTGAAGTTGCTTGGGTGAGATTCTGCTACTAGCTTTAGCTTGTATATTTATTTATTTTTACTTACTAAATGAAAAGCAGACTATAAGAGCGGTTTGATGTTAAGAAAGCAAAATATTAATAATAATAATAATAATCCTGTAGATATAATCCTGTTTTACACTGGTGTAACCTCATCCAACGTGCACAAAAGCACAGCCCTGATGTGCAGCTCAGTCTGGATCTTTGTTTTCTTTTTGATCTGTTGAACAACTGCAGAAAAAAAATCACTAAAAACTGAAGGGAAAGTTAGCTGAATAAATCTTTGATGATTATTCATTTAGTTTTGTTGTCAAATGCATCAAAAGTGTAGCCAGTTGTATGTGTATTTATGTTTAAAATGAAAACTGAAAAGACGGGGTGTCGTTCCATTCTCTGAGCACCAATCACAAAATTATTCACTTATTTTATCCTCAACTTCAGAAAGATTTCATGTAAACCTATTTGTTAGAATCTATTTGGTTCAGTTGCCTTTTATTTATTTTTTGTTATTCGTCCCCTCTGTGGAGGATCTCCGTTGTCATTTTTTGTTGTTGGTTACAAACTCTGCCGAAGCGTTTCCACTCTCCAGGCCTCGCATCAACTCGGCCAAAACCTGAGGAAATGGGTGCTCCTGTTAGAACGTTCCCACTCTTCCCAGCTTGAGGCCATCACGGCGCTGAATTATTGAAACAGAAAATAGGAAGCATCAAAAATGGAAACTAAGATCCGATGACGTGTCTGCAATAAAAACTAAACTCATGTCTGCACGTTCCTTTTCTTTGCTGTTGCCATGAAATCATAATGAGCGTTTTGCCTTTTTCAAAAGTGTATAAAAATCCATCAAAGTTAAGTCAGGTCCTCTGGACGATTTCTTTGTGTTGAAAACTGATGAACTGTTGAACGTTGATGTTTTGAACCAGTTTGGCCATGACTGTCTCAGAGGGGATGACAGGGGAGAGGGCGGACTCCATAAACCATCTTATCACCATCAAACTGGTTGGCCCACTATGTGAGTGTGCTACTGGACTGAGTTTGTTGTGGCTCCTCTGACTGATGAAGTCCTTTGGATGAGAGACAAAACGTTTCAACAAAAAGAAACCGTCC